GGGGACCTTTTGTCAGGTTCGCCTGATCCGCCAGTTGTGGCCCTTTCTTGATCGGGATTCCCTGTGCACAGTCACTCATGCCCTCGTCACCTCTCGCCTTGACTACTGCAACGCTCTCTACATGGGGCTCCCCTTGAGGAGCACCCGGAGGCTCCAACTGGTCCAGAATGCAGCAGCGCGGGTAGTGACGGGAGCAGCCTGGCGCTCCCATGTAACACCGCTCCTGCGCGAGCTGCACTGGCTCCCAGTGGTCTTCCGGGTGCGCTTCAAGGTGTTGGTTATCACCTTTGAAGCGCTCCATGGCATAGGGCCTAGCTATCTTCGAGACCGCTTGCTGCCACCGACGATCTCCCATCGACCCGTGCGCTCCCACAGAGAGGGCCTCCTCGGGGTGCCATCAGCCAAACAGTGCAGGCTGGTGACCCCCAGGGGGAGGGCCTTCTCTGTGGGGGCACCTACCCTCTGGAATCAATTGCCTCCAGAGATAAGGAGAATCCAAGACCTCGGTGCCTTCCGCCGTGCCCTTAAAACCTTCCTTTTCCAGCAAGCCGGGCTGGTCTAATTTTTTAAGTGTTTTTAAGTGTTTTGTTTATTGTTTTTAATTAATGGGGCCAAATTTATATATGTATATTTTAACTGTATTTTAATATTTGTATTTGATGTTTTTACTTGGCTGTTCACCGCCCTGAGTCCTCAGGGAGAAGGGCGGTATACAAATTCAAAATAAAATAAAAATAAATAAATAAAAAATAAATCACACAACAAAAACTGGTGAGTAATGGAATTTTTAGTGAAATGTTTCTGGTTCGGACCGGATCGCCCGATCCGGTAGTGATGGAGGCAGGTGGTTCAGAGAACCGGTAGCAAAAATCCCTGCCCCCTCCCATGCCCAGCTGAGCCACGCAATCATCAGAGGCTTTTTTTCTTTTAAATGCCTCTGACAATCCCAGCTGAGTTGCCTGATCATCAGAGAGTTTTTTAAAAACCCTCTGCCAATCAGGCAACTCAGCTGGGATCATCAGAGCCTTTTGAAAGCATTTTTTACAACCTCTTCGCAGAAGAGGTTGTAGAAAAAATGGTTTTAAAAGAAAAAAAAATGGCCACGCCCACCCAGTCACATTACCCCACCAAGCCACGCCCACAGAACGGGTAGTAACAAATTTTAGATTTCACCACTGCATTGCACAATCCCGTTCTCTTGGCAAAAGAAACCTTAATCCAGTGGCCCTTGAACAGATGTTACGGCTAGAGACCTCTTCTCTTGCAGTAGATGACCAGGATGCCTTGTGTTTTTAATACTTCACAACATCTGCTCAACTTGCCTTCTTGATGGTTGAATTGTTGATTGGTCTCCTCTGCTCAATCTATCAGGATAAATTTCATATTCTGGAATAGACAACCACCCACCTCACTAAAGGTCAAAGTCCTGTCAGCTATCCTCACCTACGTTTTGCCTGTGTACTATGATGGTTTACTGGGGTGTGGCCACAGGTGAGAGCTAAGCACCAGGTGGGGACCAAAGGTGATGAAGCAATGCTAAAAAGAAGATAGCAAGCCCACTCCACCAGAGGCACTACCTTTCCATAGACATACTATACACTCCAATATTCTATGAAACTATTATAAATAATGTACTCCCAAAATATCAAATATAGTACAAGAAAGTCCCAGGCTTTATACTGTATAATTAAATTTTTAGCCATGAGGATTTTTCTCCCAGAAAAGTCTTCACAGTATTCATCCATCCATTCATACACATACAATATACCTTTTTAAAGTCCAATGAGCATTTTTAAAACATATGTACAATACAGTAATTAGAGAAGTATTAATAACGTGAAACCAAGGGCCAGCAAATTAAGCTAATTAAGAATAACCTATAACATGGATCGGTAAAGGTTCCCAGAGAAAGGGAGCTTCACAGCTGAATTGCTGTTTCCAATGGCTAAGTACATGTCTGACAGTGGCAGGATGACAGAAAAAGCTGGGCACGTCCTACTATTTTTCTTTGTACCTGAGCTCCAGGTGCATTTAGCTTGAAAAGCGAGCAAGGAAGAGATTGGCTGAGCAAGGATAGGGACTTGCAAAAACCAGTTTGTTATCTATACATTTGGGGAAAATAAATGGTTCTTAATTTTTATTTAATAGGCATAAGATCTCTGGAGGAGAATAAACACCTTATCCTCTCCTGATTCCAAACCAAACACGCCTAATTGAGTTGGTTTGGGGAGCCCTCAGAAAAAGCTAGGACTGCCCTAGAACTAGTGAAACTGGTTTTTGCAGCCTTTATCTGCTAACCAAGTCATGATTTGATTTACTGATTGCTTTTCTTTGGCTGTATCATGCTGGGCATGGCTCTTCTGCCGGCCTCATGATGAAATGGTTGTTTTTCCTTCCTGAAAGAGCTAGTCTCTGATGTGATGTTGCTGGTAAAATCTTACTAGAGGCTCCACAAATTGCTTTGCATCTGCATCTTCATGACCACCTGAAGATTGTGAAGAGAAACATTTGAAGAACAATGAGCAACACCAGGATCTACTGATTTTCTACTTATTCCTTGAGATGTATGTGGGGGGCGGGGAGAGCAGTTTTATAGTTGTGAATATGGGTGGAAGGATGGGTAGATAAGGCCAAGAGAGTGAATTCGTGATGAAGAGACCATTGCTTCCTTTTCTCTGCCCTCCCCACAGCTCTCTTGATCCTATGCAAATTGGAGAGTTCACCACTTGGGGGAAGGGTGCAATGACCAAGCTCATTTGTGCATATTTAAATATCTAAATTATTGCCAGTTTAACTGTAGTGAGAAATATTGGGATCAGTGATGTTCATCAAACAAGGTGAGGATTAGAACAGAGACACCTTTTGCTAATTGAAAGAAAATACCTTTGCTAAAGGCACTCCAAGGACTAATCTGTTTGAGGAATTTTGCTTTGACCCCTTATTATTTCTACATATCGCATATTTAGCCAGTGCCATGGTTTATGCACCATGCTAAAGATGATTTATTGATAGGATTTTCACACTAAACTCTAAATCATGGTTTACAATCCAAAATGACTCACAAAATATCTCTTTATGATGTGAACCAGGGTTCTGCATGATATTTGGGCATAAAACAGTTAAATTTCATATTTTGAAAACTTACAAGAAAAATTACTGATCTCTCACTTTCATTCTAATAAATATTATATGCAAACTTTTATTAGAGCCATGGTATTGCAGTGGTCAGAATGCAGTATTGCAGCCTATTGCTCATTCCAGGAGTTCAATTCTGAGCGGCTCAAGATTGACTTCCATCTTTCCTGTAGGTAAAATGAGGACCCAGATTGTTGGGGGCAATATGCTGATTCTGTAAAACACTTATGGCTCTAAAGCATTATGAAGCTACATATAGGTCTTATTGCTATTGTGTGAAAATATGAGAGGCATCAGATCTTATTCAGCTTGTTTCTTTGTAAAGAAGTCACTGAAATTTGATGGCATTTCTGTAATATAAACTATGCATGCAATCATATACCTGTACAGGCTGAGCACAAGGATTGGCAATTTTAACATTATAGTTTCTGATTCTGTATCTCTTTTTTTAAAACATTAACCTCATAAGATTTGCTGTAAAGGCAGCTCACTGTCTGCTTTCAGTCTCAGTTCCTCTATAGGTTGTTTTTAAAATTACAGAAAAGGCTGGCCTAATGCTTGGTTCCGTAAGATTTTTATTAGAGTAGCCATATTGGATCTCCTGAGAAAAATGAAATTGCCCTACTAAGTTACAGTTTGGATTTAGTAAATATCCCTATTCAAATTTTTCATTGGGGGGGCAAATGGGAGGGAGTCACAGTCCCAGAATATTTTGATCCCTATAGCAAAGGACAAAGGGTTCCTTGTATTCAATTTGGAAAAAGTGCCTAGATTGGCAGATGCATTTCAGTTCAACACCTAAGCAGTAGGATGAGTTTCTTCATTCCTCTTAGCTACCTTGAAGCATTTAGAATAAAACATCTGGTGTACAGAATGTGCTTTCTTCTTGACTGTCACTTCCTGCTCTACGGCTGCTCCTGCCTTACTTTGTGTAATGATAGGCCCTACCGGCTCTCCTTGTTAAGTCTTAAAATGGATGGCCTCGAAAATCACAAACTGAAGAAGAATGACAGAGTAGGCAGGGATCCTGTTATTTATATGTCTGCCCAAAACAGTAACTTCCTGTATCTATCAATCCACAGTAAAGGAACTCATAAGAGAGTTAGTCCATTTTGTCTACTAAGCAAGCTTTAGTGCTGTTTTTTAAGCAAACAGGAAACAGTTTGATAACAGGTTGGAGTTGTAGTTCCAGCCAGCCCACCATGCTTTTCAGGGACTCACTTTTTCCCATCGCGGGCTACATCTTCCTTTTAACAGGAGAGGCCCCTGACTGTCTCTAGAATCTTTACCCTGCAAATAATGTTACATCCCTCAGCCCTCATCCTCCCATGCAGGTGAGACTGTCTCATAAAACCGGTATGGGAGCTCTATGCTCTTTCCCATGCTGATGTTTCACTGGAGGATGTCTGTAGCAGCCTCTCAAAATAGCAGCCTTTTGCCAGACAGGGCCTCTTGCCAGACGGGGCTACTCTTTCCAAAGTTATGTTGAAGTTAATGTGCTGAAAGGCTGGGTACAAAATTAGGATCAGCGGCCAAAGGCCCCTGCACGTGCACTTCCTCGTGTTGCTTTCCATTTAACACCGAACGGGACTCCCGTGGAAAGGCCGGGACACACCAAGCGCGCCAAGAACGGCTTCCTGTCCCTCCTCGCGGAGGCGGCACGGGTTCACGAGCGGGAGGAGCAGCCGGCACCGCCCGCACCTGGCAACCGCAGGCAGCTGGCAGTGCTGCCCGGCGCTACGGGAGGGACGGGGAGCGGGCCCGCCGAGGTCTCGCGGGATTTGTCGCCCCCAGGCCGGCCCCCATTCCGGTGTCTGGCGGGCGGGACGCAAGGAAGAGGAAGCACGAGCAGACCAGGACCAGACCGCCAGCGAGCGCTGCGGACGGCGCAGATTTGGCGGGCTGCTGTTACTGCTGCTGCTGCCGCCGCTGCCACCACCACGGAGCGAGCCCGACTCCTCCTGCCCGAGTCGCGCCGTGCGAATGCTTGATGGGGAGCTGCCGAGTCCGGCCTGAGCTTGGCGGCTGCTAGAGCGTGAGGCCCGGGAGGCTGAGGAAGGAGCGGCGGCGGCGGCGGGGTTGCAGCCCAGCCGGGCTCGCACAGCATGGGTAAGGCGGGAGAGGAGGGAGCCTTCGCTCCATTGCTCCGACGGAATGACCTTTCCTTCCTGGCCTTTGGGGCGGGGGTCGCCCCAGAAGTCCGCCTTGTTTCCTCCTGGGAGCGGAGAACAACGCCCCGCAAGACGGTCCGTCCCTCCGCTCCTCCACCTCCGTGGCGTGGCGGTGGGGGAGGACGACCACAGGAACCCCTCCCGGCGCTCTGTAAAATGTTAGGCTGGTCTCCTCCCTCCCTCCCTCCCTTCGTTGAGCATTCTTGGCTGGTTTCGCCCTCTTCCCCCAAGCCAGACCCAAATAGGATGGGGAAAGGGGCTTTTTTTGAGGTTCACCCCTCCTCCAGCATCAAAGGTTTCAATTAGTCCCTGGGCGCTAACGCTGGCGGAGTCGCATATTTTCTCATCCTGGAAGACTCCAGAGTATCCAATTAGTCATAATTACGCGAACAGGTAGGATGCGGGACAGGAAGTTTGAATGGGCTTCCTCTCAAATTAAGGCTAGAAAACTGTAGTTGACTTCCTGGTTCTTCTAAACTTTTTCCTATATTTAGAAAATATGTCCTACTGACAGCTATTGATTTTATTTACGTTGGAAAGGGATGGAAAAGCAAACACTCATTTATTCAGGTGAGCGTGCTTTAATATTATGGCCTGGTTTTGTTTCAGGTAGAAGCATGTTTGGACTAGTGAAAAGCTGTTGCTGTTTTGCAAGGCACTGTGGTTGAGAGTCTCTAGATTTTTGTTGGATTACAGTTCAGACATTGTGTACATTTGCCTTACTTCTGTGCTACGCAGATCAGTGTTATGATAAGTTGTACTCCTGAGTATATTAAAAGAGTGATATGCTTTTATGTATTGGGTTTTTTTGTATCGGTTTCTTTAAAATAAAGTGAAATAAGATTGCTAATTTTTTTCCTGCAAGTCATATACAGCCTGAAAATATGTGTGCTTCTCTAAAAATACTGTATAATCTAATTTATCCAGTGTGACTATTCCTGAGTATATGGTGTTTTGATTGTGGAAATCATTGCCAGAAATATAGCACCTCCCGTCTCCATGTTGAGGAATATACACTGTGTAAGTTGCTAAGTAATGAATGCATTTCAATGTTAATAAAAACAAAAAGTATACACAATTGAAACAAGAATATTAGATCTCTGGGAAGATCTGCAATGGACCAGATGGATTTGTAACTTTATTTTTATTTGTGGGAAATAAAATTCTATGTAGATATTTTTTCTGATGAAGAATGAAATATACAATACATTTACAGGAGAATCTGGATATATTTTGAAAACAAAGTACTGGTACTTGATTTATTGCTACGTAACAAAAACCAACTGTTATAATGGGAGGAAGTGGTAGTGGCTGGTAAAACCTAAATCCTGTTTTGGTTATTAATTAGCAATTGCTTTAGGGCTACTTTTAAAGTTGTTTTCTCTGGAAAAATTATGTAATGTTGCTTGATTTATTCCCAGTTAGGAATGACATGTGGTTGCCTATGGACTTTACTTTAAATGTGATTGTTTATAAATTAGTATTGGTGAAGCAAAACCTACATTTTTTATGATAAATTCTATAGATATTTTTTAATGCAACAGTAGTAGCATTAAATGTGTAAATGCTTGTAGTTACATGCTGTTTCTTGAAGGGTTTTTTTTGCATGCAAATATACTCTTCCCTGTTTAATAATGCACACATATATTTTAGCTAGTTTCTCATATATTCAGTGTATTTCTTGACGATCTATTGTATGTATTGTTTGCAAAGACAGAAGTTCCAATCCAAAAGTATTCATATTTAGGGCTGCCTAGTGTTACAATCCATATATGGCTAAGATACTTGGTTCAGACAAGCCAAATCCTCCATTGTGATCATTCTTGTATAATATCCTGTATAATTAGATGGAGTTGAATATATAAAGTGTGCTTCCGTACACGGAAAGGAAAACATTCTGTAAATATATACTGATGTGGAAGTGCTTTCAAAATGCACTTAAGCTTGTTTGTCTGGTCTCAAAATTAACTTATCCTGCCTTATTTGAAATTGAGTAACATCTGGCTCTTACACTTTCTTCAGTATCTTAAATATGATCATTATTTTGATAGAACACATAATAACTTGAAAGCCCTCCTGCTATGCTTCATGTAGTAGCATGAATTGATAAATTTGATAAGAAAGATATCAGTACACTTAAAACATAAAAGTTGAGGGAACAACAAGGTAAATCCTTTACCCTCCATGGCAAAGACTAGGATAGATGGTTTGGGATAGTGGTGACCTATTTTTTGTTCAAGTATTAAGTATATACATGTTTTACAATTATTGATTTTAAGGAAGGAAGATGTGTTCACCACTGTAAGGTTGCTGTATGTCACGGATCTTATCCAAAGCCACTCCTAGAAAACTAACCCTAGTAGAATACATGTCTACTATTTTTATGAATTTTAACTGGAACCTTTCAGATGGCCATTCAACTCACTCTCTTCCAATGCTAGAACCCCCTTAATGTTCATCAAGTAATGATAAGTTCCATTCTACTGAATTCAACCCACTACTTAAGCCTGTCTAAATCTTTCTCTCTTCTCCCAGTTTTGTGTTTAAGAGCATATTAATTTTTTTTAGAGTTTTTAGTATGTTGGGCTTTTTAATGTACTGATACTAATTCAAACCTCTAAATCTATGCTAAGTAATGCTGATTTTTATTTTTTATAAAATCATTGAAATTCGATAAATGGGTTTCTGTGGGAAACTTTTAGTTACAAAGGAAATTGGTCCCCCAATTTTCCAAATGGTTTTTGCCCACAAAGCAGAAGGATGGAAGTCCTAAAACATTTTCTTCCAGAAGCTTTTGGGCCTTTCACACTCTAGCTGCTACCACAATGAAAGGGTTGACTAGTGATTTTCTGAAGAAAAAGTTCCTCTCCTTTATTTACCTGGATGTCCTCCAGATTCCTGGAAATTCCGAACTTTAATTAGAGGTCATGGGGAACAGAAGTAGTCCTATGTTTTTCATATTTTAAAGGGATCAAACCTTGTTTTATTTCCATCAGAAGATGGACTAGAGAATTTTACTATTGTAAATGACCCAATAATATCTCCTATGTGGGGATGTGGATTGGCAAACTTGTCATGACATTAACATGTATACCAAAGTTCAGTCATATATGTATATATTAAATATAAGATACAGTTATAATGAAATAGAAGTTTAGAATATAAGGAGACAAAACACTGGATTTGCAAAATAGGTTAACTTCCTCTGACAATGTCAAAAGGGGTTCCTGAAGAAAGGTATCCAGGAGAATGTTCAAGAACTGTGGTATTACCAGTGTTTAGACTTGCTATCTTCACAAAGAATGTCAGAATGGGTTTCTGATCTCAAAAATATAGACAAGTGCATATAGGCATCGGCTTAATAGGACATTATAGACCAGTGGGTCTCAGCCTTCCTAATGCCACGACCCTTTAATACAGTTCCTCATGTTGTGATGACTCCCAACCATAAAATTATTCCATTGACCATTGAAAATATGTGTTTTCAGATGGTCTTAGGCGACCCCTGTGAAAGGGTTGTTCGACCCCCAAAGGGGTCCCGACCCACAGGTTGAGAACCACTGTTATAGACAGTCCCAATTCAGTGTAGGCCACAAACAGGCTAACTGCAGTTCCTGAACTATCTTTACAATTAGTTTCATGTACAGTATTATTAGCTTTAGACAATTCTAGTGCTCAAATATGAATAATCATCAGGAGTTCTGGGAAATTTTTTAATCTAGCAAGTTCTGCAACCATGTTTATACAATGTTGTAAAGTTCTGGTGATAGAAAATTGTTTACATTGGATAACATCAGTCACCCATTTAATATTCATTGGCAATAAAACTTGAAACTTAACATTATTATATCCAAATACAGCATAGAACAATGCATTTAAAAAAAAAAAAACTTCACATAGTAAGAAGGGGGAAGTGTACAAAACCTATCACAATTATAGCCAAAATTCCCATAATAGATACTAAAAACCAGAGTAATAAAAATATGTACTACTGGGGATATAAAATCCATATTGCTACTGTGCAGTTATTTTCCTTCTCCATCTGGGTAATATTTGATGTTTGGCCTAAATGGGATCCAGTTTCCACTGCTTGGATCAAGAGGGTGAACAATATTGCAGCTCAGAAACAGCAAAAGGATCAGAAGTAGAGTAAGAACTTCAGTATTTGGCCAATAATCGTGTCAGGATTTTTCCTATAGTCTAGGCTTGTAATCTTGTCATACACTTCCCTGCCGTCTTATAGTTCAGAGGAAAGTTTTAAAAAATTTTTTTAACATTTCTTCCCTATATACATTCATTTCCTGCTTTTCCTGTTTCTTTGCACGCTTTTATCTACTATTCTCCCATGTTTCTTTATCAGGGTAGAGCTCCCTTTTTAAGGGAGTTAAAGCATTCAGTGATGTGGTGTCTTCAGCAGGAAATACAAAATAGAATAATATAAATTAGTAATAGTGAAAATAAGAATAGAATAGTGAGATGCCAGAATTTTAGAACCTTATTTTAAATATTTCCATTCAAAGTTTGAAGACTTTAATGTTTTTCAGAACATAAATAGCATTACAAAAGTAGTATCAGAAACTACCCTTGATATTCATTTTTTTCTGAAGTGTCTAGAGAATTGATACAAAACAACAAGATTTTTGGGCAGGTTGGTAATTGCCTTTGCAGTAATATTAACTGGTTTCCAAGAAATACATTAGCGTATACTTAATAACTCTATTTTGTGGGGAGAAAATTAGTATAAAAATGAATGGGTTCCTTGATTTCAGTTGGAAAACAAAAGAAAGAGGAAAGTTGGATTTGGCCATATTTAGTATTAAATCAGGCTTATCCGGGAGATATCCAAATGGAAAATGATTGACTTGAAACCAGAACCTTCCTTAGCTTTATTAGAAAATCAGGAAAAAAGAGCACTATTTCTGTTCCTATTCTTCTCAG